CAATTTATTTAATAACTATTAAAATTGCATTTTCCAACCATTTACTTCTCAACAGCGTAGTATTGCTAATTTATATTACAAATATTAATGTTAACACTTAACTATATGAGTAGTGGTGAGAGGTATGTGAAACTTCTCATATGGTCCAAATGCTACTATCCGACCGACATCATAGTTGTCTCTGTGACGGATAGCGACTTGCGAGGCAAGTACCGAGAGCGGCGACCTCTAGCCCAGATGGACTAAACTACTGTTCTTAAATATGATTTAAACGCAACAACTACTCAGCGGACAAATACCTCAACCTGCATTGGATTATACCTTCAAATCATGATAGATCGGTAGCCAATATCATTTGTCAATTCCTAACCAGACATAGACCGGTTTCGAACTTATTAGTTCTCCTCAGTATGCCATAGATTATGGAACAGACAAATGATAGTAGCCAACCTGCTAGTCATATACTGACTAAGGTAAATTGAGTAGTGGTGAGAGGTATGTGAAACTTCTCATATGGTCCAAATGCTACTATTCGACCGACATCATAGATGTCTCTGTGGAGGATAGCGACTTGCGAAGCAAGTACCGAGAGGAAGTGAAAATGATATTGGCTACCGATTTATCATGATTTGAAGGTATAATCCAATGCAGGTCGAGGTATTTGCCCGCTGAGTAGTTGTTTCGTTCAAATCATATTTAATAACACTAGTTTAGTCCACCTGGGCTAGAGGTCGCCGCTCTCGGTACTTGCTTCACAAGTCGCTATCCGCCACAGAGACATCTATGATGTCGGTCGGATAGTATCATTTGGCCATATGAGAAGTTTCACATACCTCTCACCACTACTCAATTTACCTTAGTCAGTATATGACTAGCAGATTGGCCACTATCATTTGTCTGTGCCATAACCTATGGCATACTGAGGAGAACTAATAAGTTCGAAACCGATCTATGCCTGGTTAGGAATTGACAAATGATATTGACTATCGATCTATCATGATTTGAAGGTATAATCAAATGCAGGTCGGGGTATTTGCCCGCTGAGTAGTTGTTTCGTTCAAATCGTATTTAATAACTTTTCTATATAACAGTTTTTTTGTATTAAAAACTGCTCTTGAGTAAAAACGTAAGATATGCAGTGATTAAATTCCTCATGATGGTAATAACGTAGCACAATTATTAATGGGCTTTCATCAGGTAATTCATCCAGTCATTCTTCTACTAAGGCTAGTATCCTAATTTCCTATACCGGCCTAATTGAGATAAGACTCTCTGCCAGCAGAAACAAATCTGTTAGGCATTTTTTTTAATGTCGACCGTTAAACTTTAACTTTCCTTCTCCTACCATCTTCCACCGCCTTCTTTTTTTCTAACCATTCCTGGTTCCATAAATCTCCGATCCTTTTTCCTTTTCACAGTTCTACTATTGTGTGGCCTTCTCATTCAATAGGTAAAACCCGTGTCCCATTTTCTTATTTCTTCTCGCTTCCTCAGTTTACTGTTCTCGTGAGTATTCTTCTTCAGAAAACTGCCGTCTCTATATTCTTCCAAAAATTCGCTAGTTCCATAATATATGTCATCCCTTTTCTTTTTTTTTTAAGCTTCAACTTCTTAAGTTCTATTATCCTGCTGGTATGACAAAGTAGTGCTCCTATATTTCAAATAAGTTTGCACTGGAAAGCGGCCATATTAGAGTATACCGTAACGTACGAAGATAATATTATTGATAACTTCAACTTGTCTGTAGCGTTGTCATTGTTATTTGCTGTTATAATCCGCTTTCTGTTACAGCTAAATTAAGTACTTAATTACGATTACAAAAAGTTCCAGCAGAGCTTAACGTTGATTATGAACATGAACACCATGAACACCACAAAAAATAGACAACCCCCAAATCCAAATCCGAAGTTGCATGGGCGAGGGTTACACCTATGAAAAAATGCGGACATATAGCTATTCCCACCGGCATGACATTACTAGTTCCGGTGGCGGGATTCGAAGTGCCATCGCGCGCTATGATATTACTAGTTCTGGTGGCGGGATTCGAAGTGCCATCGTGCGCTATGATATTACTAGTTCTGGTGGCGGGATTCGAAGTGCCATCGCGGGCTCTAGTCAACTGCTCCACCGAGCCGTTGTTATTCATAGCAATTAAATAGTCAGCTACACGGCTTAAAAGTTTGACATTCTGGTACTCTTAGATTTAATATTTTTTACGATATTCCCCCAACACAAAAAACCTCAAATAACATAAATGTTGATGTTTATGATATTAAAGTGAAATTAATGTTTCATTTTGTTGCCTTTGAATTTTTGCCTTTTCGTCAACTTAAAAAACAGATTTTAGTACAGTAATTCTATCAATCACATCAGTGTGTATTTACTTCTCATAAAAACTTTAAAAGTTGATTACCAGAACATCATAGCGCAAGATAACAAAAATATAATTATTCGTACTAATACATATAAGCTGTGGTCTCGACCATGTAATATATTTACAGGGGTAAAAAAAATTCTTGAGCTCTCGGATAATATACTCTTTTTATTTAATTAAACTGTTGCTGACGTTTCAATAACAATTTTTATCATCAAGAACCTTACTTAAAAATAACAAAGTAAATTCAAATAACTTCTTGCTTTAGTTTAAACAAAATAAATTAAAATTATGGATTGACATCATTTCCAAAAAATGCACAAAATATATATAAAAACATTTCTAATCATAAATACCTAAACACCTAAACAATCGACATCCAACCAAACACTGTAAACAAGCACTGCAGATTAAAATGTTTGTCTATATGGTTTTTTACTATCAGTTAAACATTTTTCTATGCAGTTCTTAAAAAAATTTTCTCATTCTACTGTATATGGAAGAATTTATTATTTAAGACAAACACTTTTTCTGCGTAATATTATCATGTCTTGCTCACAATTGCGATGATAACTATTAAACAGAAAGTTCTTTGTCATACAGCAAGTAATAAAGTGCCCAATAAGTTTAAAACTTAGTATGCGCTTATCGAATTCAAGTAATTCAAGTTTACACTATCCTGTGAATCTTTTTTTGTACAGTAATATTGATGTATATTTTCAACACGTGGAATGGAAAATTGTTACCATCACCAAATGCTTTTGTGACAATTGTCCCATGTTTTCCCAGGAATGCTGTATGTACTATTTATATGGCACAAAACATCACAGTCAAAATACCAACAGAATCATAAACCAAGTTAAGAGAAAAGTAAACTTGCCAGCTAGAACTTGGCAAACAATTTTATTTGTTTGTCTAGAGAACTAATAGGAGTGCTGGTATTTATTTTATTTCATTGAATACCTATTTTCCACACTTATAAGATTCTTGTATAGACACATAGAGATATTTATTAGTTTAAAACATACAAAGTATACAGTCTTTCAATGATGTCACGACAAACTTCGAGGAAAAAGCAAAAAAACAAGAATAATACTTTTCCTATGAATTACCACAACTATTCATTCATTCTTGAAAACTTTGACCTCTAAAACGATTTTCTGTCGATACTGAAAATGTATCTCTGCAATGGCATACGGATTTTCATTCGACAGGCGATGATGTTACATCTGTTGTTGATACCGTCACGAGTGAAAGTAGTTTCATCGATGAACAGTATTAATTGATTTAACTAGCATTTATCCAGTGACAAAATTCCAGTCACATTGCATCGTCTCCTGGTTGAAGCTGTCGCACACGCGTTATGTGACATAGATACAAGCCTTGGTGAAGTAATGTTCATCATACTCTTTTTATTATTATCATTTTTTAATAACATTATTATGTCAGTGATAGTGAAGATAATGTGCATATTATCTTTTATATAATCCCATATGCATCATTTGGCAAGTAATCGAGAGAGAAGTTGCTTAAAACGGTATGTGTTATACTTATCTGCGATTCATTTTTTGTAAAAGTATAGAAAATGATAATTAGGAATTCTTATTGTTATTAGATTTTCAATTTATTCCTTATTTACCAAGGGGGTACCTAAATTGTTTTAATTTTTTTTCGTTCATTATTGACGTTAAACCATATTTTGTAACTGTGAATTACACGTGTTAGTTAAACAAGTCTAGGTTTCCTTCTATTGTACTGTCATGTGCAAATAATATTTTATCTAGTTGAATCAGAGCTGCTTTCTTTCGCCTGAAAAAATCGGATTGATCCAAAAAGCACCAATAGCAGTAAAGTATTTGTAATTAATCAATTTCTTTTGGTTGTTTTTGGATGAAAACGTGTTATGAATCTGTGATCATATCATTTATATGGATGAGGAAAATATAAGTCCTAAGGGCGAACTTTGAGGTACGCCATTTTTAATATATTCCACTGCAGATTTTTTCCATTAATGATTGTAGCTGTTGTAGGAAATGATTTCGTCCATAATATATTTTAGGTATTTTCAAGTGGATTTAACTGAATTTCATGAAACTTGCATAGTGCAAATAAATTATGTGATAAATTTTAGTTAATTTTTTTAAGATGTCCAATAAATAGATCCGATTTGATGTAAAACAGACTGATGATAAGCAGTCGTGATGGAAACTGTTTTAAATTTTAATTAAAACAATTTACAATAAAGTGCATGTCTGGTGAACTGACGAGGCCGCACCATGCCGCAGTTCTCAGTAATGAAAAATAAACTATTTTCATGTCACTTATAATTTTTCCGTATTATTCACTTTGTTTTGTCACGAAATCTTGTAAAATGATACAGGTAAATTGAGTGTAAATTGTAAATGAAAATTATATACCTACTATAAAAAAGTAATATATTCTATAGTATCACGAAATATTCCATATTTCGCAGTTTTCAGGTTGTTTATAGATTTGAAATATGATTTCTATTTTAATTAGTTCAAGGATGCGGAAGTTAAGAACTTTTTTTAACTTCATTATACTTGCTAAACCTGCTACTAAACATATACTGACAACGATGTGTATATTGCAACGAAACTTAACGGCTCATGGCTCAGTGCTTGTGTGTTAGGCTTAAAACCAAGGGGTCTCTGGTTCGAATCCAGGTTAAGACATGGATGTATTAGAGCGTTTTTAAATACCGAGACGATAGCACAGTTGTCTAGAGCTTCTCTCCTGAGTTCAAGTCTGAGCTGCGACATCTGGTAAGTGTCAGAGGGAATGGTTATTGTGTGTGTGTCTGTCCTGGTTGAGTGGTGGAATAACAATCTGCTAAACTCCGGACGTTAATATAAATAAGGTTTTAAGATAAAATCAGATAATTTTTTTTACTTTTTATGGTATTACACACTGTCTTATACAATTGAATTTCGATATTCGATATAATAGACGAGTGACAAATAAAAAAAGGAATATACACACAAAGGAGTAAAACACTCAAGTTTATCTATTATTGCTTATATCTAGACTATCTCTAAACATAAATAGTCCAGAGAGACTAAATAAAACTGATTTAAAACCCTTATAAGAGTACAGCGTCCCACCTAGAGAAGGGCCTATATGCCTTTTTTTAACTACAATTAAAACTTGCAACTTTTAATAAATTAATCAAATATTTACTCTTCGAGTATGTGAAGAGTATTATAAAACCATATTTGGTATATGATAAGCACCATATTAAAACTAAAAGGCACAAACAAATGCTTTAGCGAAAGTTTTGTATTTAATGAAATAAATATAAATGCAAATAAATCAAGTGCGTCACTTCCTTTATCCACGCGCTATATATAAATGAGGCGTAAGCATAGTTATAAAACGGACATATGGCGACTACTGAAAATTATTCCTGGTATCGATGGACTACTTATAATATGTGTTGGGACTCCTCATAGTGGGCTAAAATCTTCTACCACGCTAGTTTACATAATTTAGAAAGTTAAAATTTCATGCGCTCTCTAATAACACAAATTTTAGAAAATACATGTACCTATATATTTTTTTCTTGCTTAGTAATAAATAAATTGGTAGTATACGCCCATAATGTGGTTCAATGTTAGTAAATTGTTTTTATTAACCATTTCTATTAGACACAAATTACATTTTTGTCCAATCAGGATAATTCCCAATATGGCTGACCATTATACAATGCTTGACTACTAGAAATAATGACGGCTGTACGTACAAACCCTATAAGTTTTAAACAATTTTACTTCAAAGACGTTTTGTATTAAAATACCTATTAAACTACCAGTTATTTTTTTAGTATGTCGACTTATTTTTTTAGAAGAATGTTTTAAGACTATTTGTCCTTATATTTCTTAAAACTTGTAGGCTTATATCTAAATCCGTTTTAAAAATTTTGAGCACATAACACAACCACTTTAAACCAATAGGATTTATGGTGCCCGGATAACCTAACCTAAAATTTCAGTTTTCCGCCACGCTACACACGTTTGCTCTGCGTACCTCTCCCATTTTTTATCAAGTGCATTGGTTTTACTAGCGATATCTATATTCTGTACAAAGGCAACCCTTTTATGCTAAGGATGATTTATTAGTTTTTGAACTCTAATAAGTAATCTTAGCTTTATGGAGGTTCGACTGAAACTTAATAATCTCAACGTATATTAGATTTATAGCCCAATATTAACAACCCCAAGATAATTTCTAAAAGCAATTACAAAACTACACACAACACGTCCTAAATTCTCTATAAAACTCAATCCTTCTGATTTGGACTTAACAGCTATAAAGTTTTATTGAAGGATCGACAAATGCCTTGATAGTCAGTCATAAGCCAATAAAAACTAATAGATAATTTAATTTAGATGAGGTTTGTGACAGAAGTATTTTTAAGTGCACTTGGTATAATAAATCTGGCATCATTCAGTAGTTTACGAGCTGGCCCACTATAAAGCAGTGATAAGTGATAAAACCTATACTCTCTTTACTTTAACTTTGCAGTGTTAGCCAGAATAGAAAACAAAATGCACGCTGATTCTTGGTGCAGGCGGCAGGCAGATGTACACAAATGCAAAGTTCCTATAGCGGTTCATTTTCATGTTTATTTTATTTCATAAGCATCGATCGTAGTTGGACGTTTCTCTCAGTCAAGTCCAACACATTACTGCAAAGTTAAATTGAATAGAGTTTAAATAAATCTAAAATGCATTTAAACCATTACTTGGGTAAGTATGTTAAAAAGAAAAAGGTAACATTAATAACCTTTACAGAATATGTAATTAACCTTATACAAATAAAACCTCGTTATTTTAGATATATACGAGTGCGTTTTTTTAAGTCAATCATTTATACTGAAGTTCTCGGTTTACTAAAAATCCATTTCTTTAATTGAATTTTAAAGAGTTTGATAGAATTTAAATCTTTTAAGGTTTTGGGTAATGGCATTGTATATCATTGATCCAAGCATAACATTGTCCAATACTTATAGATTCTTGGCGCTATAATCGATATTTTTTTATATCTGGTGACATAATTGTGGTTTACTCTTTGGTCACTTTGATAACTATGTGTTAAAAAATAACTGTCTGATATCAAATAGTTTTGTCTCAAGTCAACTTGCAATTGTGCACGTTTCCCTAAAATTACCGATAATTTTTAATGCACTTTTCATTTATTAATGATATTTTTTTGATACTTAATTTGTCCAATTACTGGAAAAAATCTTTATTCAACATAAAATAAAATTTTATATATTGTTATCGTTTTAGTTTTTCTAGTTTGGTATGCGATAAAAGAAATAAAACTGGAAACTGTTTTAACAAAACTTTATAAATAAGTTGAACAGATTATCTTTGCATGGATAACTAGACTACTATTTAAAGTAGGTAAATAAAATGAATACGTGCAATTATTCTAATCACCCTAATTATATTATATATAATAAATTAGTACTATATGTACTGATTAAAAGTTCATTAAAATTGTATATGATTCTATTACAATTCTAAGAGGCCAATGTTTCGGGCTTCCTTCACGTGACAGTGTTTTCATGCATAAAAATGAAACAGAAACGTTTATTTACATCATTTTACCTTTCAGTTGCTGAAAGTATTTTAAACATCAATGATATTTAGATTTGTATAAAAATAAAATTACTGTTTCAAAAACAAATAAGTTTTCTGCAATTATACATTGGTTAAAAAATAAGTGTTATCTATTTTTTCGTTGGAAAAGGATATTATGTATATTATTGCTACTAGTATCTCAAGGTGCCTGTTGTGGAAGGAAGGTAAGTATACATTTAAAGACAACGGACACAAACCCAATATCTGAGTATACAAGAACTAATTTCTGCTTTAGAAAAAATCTCAGCCAGACTGGGGATTGAACCCTGGACTCCACGATGAGAGGCAAATATCCTTACCGCTCAGGAGGCCACATTAATAATGCGATGATATTATTAGACGATAAACAAAAAAGAATGTAGACTTTTATAAAAATTAACTTGATGATGCTTTCAAGAAATCGAAACGTTCTTTGGATAATCTGTTATTATGAAGTAAAATAAGAAGTTAAAAATTATTTCTCGTTTTTATATATTTCTAGAAATAAATAAGTTATATCGTTGAGTGAAGAAATTACCAAGATGCTCAATCTGTCGTGGATCGAGACTCTAGTAGGTACTCTGTTTTTTTGCTAACAGCTTGAGGATTGTCATCAAGTTTTAGTGCTGTGCAGCCAAACTCAAATATCTTCCCATTACACTAACAATACCCTCAAGCTATTGACAAAGAAATACAGTAGGTACCATAAAATCTTTTGTTAGTTATAGGCCAAAATATAAATTTCCTTTCAATTTCAGTTTTTCCTGCTTTTCTTGGCAAAGATTTCAGATATTATCAAATTTCTTTACAGAAATATGGAAAATAATTACGATAATTTAAATGGGCTCTTTAGATAAGCAAAATACCAATAGTGATCCTCGAATCCTCTAGAATGACTTTGTCGCTTGGTGATATAACAATATATCTGAATTGTACAGGGTGTTTCATATTTAATGCTCATCATTGGTATCTATGTTATCTGAAGAGATAAAGGACCAATTTAAGTTTGACGCTTTGGAATATTTAATTTAAATTTAGGAAGTATATATTTCCCTTATTTTACAATTTTCTAAGAGCAACTTTTTATTTTACTTAGTAAAATGGTCACAGAAATTCCAGGTGGCGTTTCAGTTCCTTGAAACACTCATCAGCTTAATTTCTTTAGATAGCGACTCTAATTTATTATCATGAGATCATAATATAATACACAATACACATGCATGTTTTAAAGAATAGTGTAGCAGTCCCTATCGTTGCCAGCACAGCCGGCTGTCATAAGAATGTGTGTACTCGATTAGTTTGCTAAAGTTTTGTGGATTCATTTTGCTTTCTTTTATAAAGATCTGTGAGGTAAAGGTGTTTTAGTTTACTGCCTGTTATATTCTGTTCTACCGTCCTGGCTCGACTACAGTCTCAAAAGTGGGTAACTAACAAGTAAACAAACACCAGATAACTTTATGATATGACCTAAACGTGATCCAGTAACTTCCTCTGTAAACTTACATCACAGTAAAGAATCTCAAATAAACTTAACAAAACAGTGTCTTGTGACAAAAATTTCGAAAGCGACAAAACAATAAAACACGCAAAAAAAATAGTTACTGGTAAACGCGAGTGCTGGTTGGAGCATTGACGCTCATAGCGATATCTTATCACAACGCAGCAATACAGACGTTAGACATAATTCGCTCAACGGGAGTTACAGACATCGGGAACAGCAATAGAGGGGAATTACAACAAGTTTTAAATATTGTAGCTAATTAAACTGCTCAGTTAATCAATTTGCAGACCCAGTTTATTTCGATGCACTCTAAGGATGAAGAAGATTGACGAGATTTCCCACTGATGCTCAACATCAAATTCCAGAATTCGATCCTGATAAAAATTCAATTACTGTTTCACACTTCATTCAAAACGTAGAAGACTTACAAGAAATGTACTCACTGGATGATCGCAACATGACTATTCTAGCAAAAAAAGAAGCTGAAAGATGCTGCCGAATTGTGGAAAGATAGCGAAACAAATCGTTCTAGTTGGAAGTCCTTTAA